TTTTTTCAAATCATTTTGCCTCAAGATAATTTTTTTAACAGCAAAGAAAGCACTTTCTGAAAAACTGCAGTTTTTTTACTGGGTGGGGGATAATTGAATTTGTGTAAGTTAAATAAAACCTTAGTATTGTGGTGTACATGTTGGTGAGGTGCCTCTCACCCAGCATCTTTGGGGTTTTAGGGGGCGTGTTTTTGAGCCCTCCGTGTTTTTGCTTTGTGCTAATATTCTAGTTTTGGCGTTGAAGGAATAAATCAAACTGGTTTGCAGTCAGTTTATTCTCCTTCATTAACTTAATTTACAAGCTCTCCCTCGCTGGTTTTTTTTCAGCTGTGTGAGCACATCTCAAACAGAACATCTCCTGCTTTCCTGCATGCGCATGTCTCCATGTAAAGACAGCAACTGTGGAAAATGTTTGGACCAAATTGTCCACACATTATTCTTACACATCCTGTGTGTTTGTGTGTAGAAACAGCCTCAGAGCACAGTCAACAAACGTTCTTACCCAAAAATGAATTCCATTTTCTTGTCATGGCATCCATCAAGTCTGTTCTTATAGCACAGGCTCCAGTTCTTACTTGTTAGCAGAGCTGGGAATGATCAAGTGAACTATTTTCTTTCTAGCTCGGACCTTTTTTCTCTCTCTCTCTCTCTCATGTTTTTGCATTTTGCTGACCGTCAGCATATTTTTGCAGCTGCGCCGCTGAAACGCAGAAACATGGAGTACAGTAGAGAGAATGTCTGTTAATGATCGTCCAAGCAGCAGAGGTATTTATAGGTGACCTGTAGGTCAGCCCAGCAGAGGATTATAGCCAGCTGCAGCTTAATTACCAAACCACAAACCAACAACTTCATATGGAGCACACCAGCATTTATAATTCAGGTGTATTAATATTTGACAGAGTCCATGCATCAGCCTGTCAGCCAGTGTTAACAGGGGTCAGTTAGACCATTTAAAGCCAACCCATGTTTCTGGATTAACAAAAAAAAAAAAAAAAAAAAACAGGAAGGCTTGCAAACAGATGTACTCCAAAGACCAATTTATGTTTCTCGGATGTTATATTTGAATTCCATCTGCTTCAGCGCAAGTTACAGCATATTTTCAAACCAGTGAAGGGTTATTAAATGTTTTAACTGGAAATTACTTTTCTGTTGGTCAAGACTGTCTGGTCGCTAATTCAGATTTATTCAGATTATTCTCGGGGTTTGTTTAGTTTCAGTAAAAGATTTTCAGGTTTACCTTTTTTTTCCTTTGGGAAGAAAAAGGTTTGCAGAAAATGTAATTTTAATTGAGTTTTATGTACACTTAACACAAAAGTTTGGATATTTGTGTTTGGTAGATTATTTATTTGTTGTAATAAAGCTTCTTATCTTATACGAAGTGCCTGATTGGCAGCACCTAGGGGTACCAGAAGCTCAAAACAAAGGTCAATAGCAACAGCTGTTTGGCAAAGATTTGGCAAAATTTTCATGTGTTTAACCCACATACTCAGCTTTACTGCTCATCCCTCAGATGCATGTTCCTTACAAATGTGGCACCATTTAAAAGGGAAATTAACAGGCTTTCCAACAGATTTATTGCCAAGAAGCATCGTCACAACAAAGAAATAATCTGCCAAACACAAATCTATTTATTTATTTATACTAAGTTTAGATAATTTTCTTATTTGATCAGTTATCAGGTCTAGCGCATTCCAAAAAATGTTTCAGATGTTTACAGCTGATTTGTTTTATATCATCTAAACATAGACACATATTAGAAACTCCAGTCTTTTTGTTTTACGAGGCTTTGATGCTACATGATACTGAATCCACTCATGACAAATTAAAGACAAATAAGATTCAAATTGAATTAGAAAAAGCTTAAAAAATAATAAATTATTACAAAAGTAGGGTTACTGCAGTTACTTTATTTGAAAAGAATAAAAACATTGTTTTATTCTTTAAAAAAATTATATTTCCCTTTCTCCTCTTTTCTCTTCTCGGTATGACTTGACTACCAAAGACGAGGACTTCTCCAATGAGCTCCCCTCATCCTTGTCCGAACCTTCCTCCCCTGACCTCGCTTCCTCCTCCTCACCAACTCAGCCTGAGTCTCCCCTGAATCCCGTCACCTCTGAGACCCTGCGGCTGGAGGTCGCTGCCCCTCACTACCACGACAACCAGCTGCAGGTGAAAGTGTTCTGGAAGTGGCCTTATCATGGTGAGTCGCTGTTTCGACACTGAACAGCTTGTTCAAACTATGGAAGCTGCAAATACCACACATGCTGGTTGTTAACACCAGACAGTCTTGTTTGATCCCTCTTGTTTACTGTTTTGTTTTTTACAGCCAGACAGAAACACAGAGGTCCGTACGTTCTACAGTGGCGTCCGTTTACCTGCAGCACCAATATTACGAGCACAGAGAGAGCAACAGCCGTGGTGCAGGTATACTTGTTTTGTCTTTGCATAAAGCATGTCTGTGTCACAGTTAGCATCACTTTTATTATAACTGTCAGATCTTTGCGTAGAAGAACTTTCTGTATCTGCATGCATTTATTTTTAAAAAATCTTTAATTTTTACAAAGACATTTCTTGACTTGATGTGCTATTACAATTTACTTTGACCTCTTTTTGAGGGGAAGTCTATCTTTTTCTATGCCAAACAATGCTTCACCATACCAACTTTTATTTAATTTGTTTATTCAGCAGTGTTCTATGCTCAGACTCTACTATGCTGACTTGTGGAGTACCCCAGGGTTCTGTTTTGGGACCCATTATATTTTTTTCACCATATTCTCCCCCTTGGCAGGTAGTTTAACAATTTAGAAATGTGCAACATTAGCTCCATGTTGATGATATTGAGCTCTACTGCTCATTCAAAGAAAGTCAGTTTTATAATTTAAAGTCCTTGTTTAGTTAGCATTAAACAATGATTAAGTGACAATTACTTGCAATTTAAATCAAATAAGACTGAAACTGTGATCATTGTGCTAGAAAATATGGTTCTTTAAATTAAACAGTTTATTGGTGTCTTGGGTTTATCTGTCCAGTCCATCCTCAGAAACTTGGGTGTCATTATTGATTCTACGACGTCTTTGAAACAAGACTCAAAGCAATTGACTTGAAACTGACACTTCCACCATAAGGCCTTGTCACACTAGACAACTTATGCCAACTTAGGAAACATTTTTTATGTCTAAATTGCTAATAAAAGTTGTGTATTTGATCAATTTGTTAGAATTACAGCATGGATTTTTTTCAGCTCCATCTTCAACGTAGAAGTCTTTAAAAATTTCATAAGTTGGCACAAGTTTTCTAAAACGTCATTGTGTAACAGGGCCTTTAGGAACATCTCAAAATTGAAAAGTTTCTTTTCAAAAGCTGGACTTGAGATGATCATTGTTGCATTTATTTTTTCTTGTTTGGATGTTTGTAACAGCTTGTGTTTAACCATGTTTAAACAAGAAGGAGCCGGATCATCTTCGGGTTGTCCAGAATTCAGCTGCGAGATTGATAACTTACATCCCAGTTCATTTTAGAATTAATTTTAAAATTCTAGCTTCAACTTTAAAGCCCTACATGAGCAAGCTCCTCTTATATCTCAGATTTAAAACAACTCCACACACCATCTCGGAGGTTGAGGTCATCAGGTCAGAGGTTGGTGTATACCCCGCACCCTTTTTAAATTTCATGGGGATCGGTTTTTCCAAGCAGTTGCACCCTGACTTTGGAACGCAACCTTGATCCTATTGATGCTTTAAAAAAAATCGGAAGATTTTGTTTTATAAACAGGCTTTTTTGACGTGTATTCTTCCCAGTTTTACTTGTGCTTTTTATGCATGTAAGTTTACATTTTTTTTATTGCTTTTGTTGTGAAGCACTTTGTCATTTTGTAAATGAAATGTTTTATAAATAAACATTACTTACTTACACACTTACTTACTTACACACTTACTTACATACTCACTTACTTACACACTTACTTACACACTTACTTACTTACACACTTACTCACTTACTTACTTACACACTTACTTACTTACACACTTACTTACTTACACACTTACACACTTACTTACTTACACACTTACTTACACACTTACTTACATACTTACTTACTTACACACTTACTTACTTACACACTTACTTACTTACACACTTACTTACTTACACACTTACTTACTTACTTACACACTTACTGACATACTTACTTACTTACTTACTTACTTACTTACTTACTTACTTACTTACTTTCTTACTTACTTAAACACTTACTTACATAC